AGGATCCTCCTCAACTCCAGCCAACAGCCAGGGGCGCGCTGGACTCCTGTTCCAATTTTGGTGAGCCACGATATGCAGAAAATGGAGCAGAGAGCATGGAATAAAAGGGTTAAATTCTGAATGTAGCTGTACAAATCAAGGCGAGGTCTTGGTCTTCATGACATTCACTTAATCCACTTCACCTATTTGCCAGCTCTGGCACACAGCGAGGTGCATAGCAAGCTAAAAATCTCATAGTAGGGGCCCAAAGAAGCTGCCTGGCCTTGCACTGCTATTTCTTTTTCATCACTTCTTGCTTCTCCCCAACCTATATACTCACTTTCGTATCAGCTTTGAGCTTGTTACATCAAGCACTTCTTCCACCCTCCTCCAGTCTAATGACAGCACATCAGAGAATGTCAAAATCCTGTATTAGGCTTTATTCTTTTATATAAACATTAACATTTCTCAAACAGATTAGTTAAAAATACAGATTTAAACAAGAATTTTTGCAATTGCAATGAGTTATAAAAAACAACAGATTATTTTACAGATTGTTACAAGTGCTTTACAAAGGTGCAGAGTGAAGGCCAGTGGCAGGGGACCAACCTCAAGTGCAAAATGGACACGATACCCTCACCACGGGCATAGCGCTCAGATACACAGCCAAAAAAAAAACAAAAAACAAAAAACAAACAAACAAAAAAACGAGCCATGTGAACCTAGGCTCTTGGGATGCTCACCGGGCAAGCAAACATAGACCCCTATGACAGAGAAGACTCATGAGACCAAGCTACCAGGATACATAAGGTTACATCTCTGAGATCAGCCGTAAGATGTTGTTTCTTGGAAAATAGGGAACATGTTTTACAACAGTATATTTCTCTTCTGTCAGACAAAATATTGCTGTAAATCCTAGAATACTTATGGATGTGGATACTTAAGAGCTTGGGGCATAAATCCAGTGTGGATCTCACAGTGCCCAAAGTGAAGAAAGCATACAAGACCCAAGTGTCCTTCTAGAGCAGCTGGCACTCCTCATACGGGAGGGACCTCCATATCCCATGACCATCACTAAAACCTTGAGCAAGTACCTTGGAAAGACTTTGGCAAAAGGAAGAAGACGCAAGTGGATCTGGTTACACCCAGTATTACTGCAGCCCATGATCTGAGAGTTGTGCAGCCCATAGCTTATGCAATGCCCACGTATTTCACTAAACGCAGTGTCTCCTCTCTCCTTGGCCGATACATCTTCACACCCACCTTGGAACACATACCACATGCTCCAAATTCTTGGAAGTTTGAGATCTTTCCACCACACCTACCTTGCCTAGGTACCAGTCCTTCCCACCTATCTTTCTTCTATTCCACCCCTAAATATAAAATCTATGCCCTGATTTGTTTTGAACTAAAGTTTTCCAGCTGTTAGCAAATCAAAGGTAAAGCGAACTGGCTGAGAACCACCATGAGATAAAACTACGATGTATTACGTTAAAAAAACCCACTACTTTATGCCTGACATCTTTCTGATACACAGATGTTCCCTACCCAGAGGACCTCCCTGTTAGACAAAGGGCACTACGCACTAGAGGAATCCTTTTTCCAAAGGAGGCCCAGAATGAAAGGGCAGCTCTAGAGATGAAGTCTCATAATAAAGAAATAACAGCTACTTCTCTTGGAATCGTTGTAAAGGGCAGCACATACAAGAGATTTTATTTATAGGAAACCCAGTGAAACCCCTAGAACATCCACATTGACTTCCCTGAGCTCCTCAGATCCAGGTACACTGGGGACCCTGCAGAAGCCTTTTGAGCTGGGTTACTCTCAATAGAGAGGGATTGGCAAGTTCCTGCAAATTCATTTCATAATCAACGAGAGGGGAAAGGATCAGTGGGCAAGTCCTCAGGACATGCTTAGAGAAGAGAAAGAGGTGTATGTGTGTGTGGGGAAGGTCTTCATTTCTACCGTTTTCAGATGTTTCATGTTATTCATTTGGGGTATGGGCACTACATTGAAACCCCAGGCTCATCACTCCCTGCACTGCCTAGCCCAGAGTTCAGTGCTTTGGAGAGGGGAGACTGGCTTCTCATTAGCAAAGGCTGGGAGATGGCGTTATGTCAGCACGTCAGTGCCCTGGGAGCATGCAGTCACTCATGCACATCCCAGATTTCCGACAGCAGGGGAGGGAGTTTCTTGTCCTGCAGCCGAAGGGCGAACACCTGTTCAGAGTGGACACTACTTAGTGTCCGAAGACTGACCAGCTTCATTAACATCCGTGGAAACATCAGGCGGTCCTGCAGAGTCAAACAGACCGCTGTTAGTAAATTCACACTAAAACTTTGTTAAAAAAAAAAAAAATTACCACACCGGATAATGCACTGTAACCACAATCCTGACTTCCTCTAAAGCCAGCATTCTCCAGGAGGCGGCAGTGTGGAGGAACACAAATACTACACCATGTCCCAAAGCTCCAGACTTTCCATGCTGGCTAAACGATGGAACATGTTACAGGACAGCAGGCTGTGACAGCTCACAAATCCTGCATTTAGAGCTGCTACCAAACAGCCACAGAAGGGAAGAGCACGACAGTACAGGCAGCAAGAGACCTGTTACAGACAGTACTGCAGGAACTGTGCCTGCATAAACACAAAATCAGTTTGCATCATCGTTGGGGATGTTCTCCTCAGGCACTTACATTTGGTCTGTTGATGCAAATGTAAGAATGAAGGGCTTCCACATAGGTGTGCTGCAGCCTCTCCACCAGGGACTGGTCCTGCACATTCGGTCGGTCTGCCAAAAAGCAGGTTAGAAGTAAGCAGATTGCCACAGGCAGCTTCACTCGACTTGACCTGCCTAACCCCAGTCCCTCAGTATGGTCTCTCCCCAAAACCTCATCTAGCATTCACCCAGCACAGCTGGGAGAGTCATCCATGACTGCAACAGCTATGTCAGTTTTCTGTAACTGTTCTTTCTCAGTGATGTCTACAGCACATGGGGAGTCCAATCCGACTCCTATAGAGGTGGAAGGTTAGACAGACCAAACAGCACTGTAAGAGTGAGTCTGGTCTCACATTCCTGCCCCAGTGAAGATGAGAAGCTGGCCATTCAGGAGGGAATGGGAAAGTCTCTCCAGCAGCTGAGCCAGTTAGAAAACAGGAACAAAGAAAAAGAAAAATTCATCTTTCAGGTCACAAGACAGAAAACAGAACTAGAGAGTAGAGGTGGCTTCTTTGCAAAGCCCTGTCCTGGCCCAGTGTGATACTGGTCTCACATCCAGAGCATCTTTACTTGACCACTAGATGTCACTCATGCCGTGTGACCTGCATCACACCAGAGAAGTGCCAAGTACATTAAGGGGACAGTAAAATAGCAATTTCTAAATAAGGAAGATAAATATTGGCTGATTTTGCTATACACTTTTCCAGCAGTGGGGAATCTGATTTGCTCTGGAGGCAGCACTAGAAAATTCAGAATATAATGAATACCCTAAGCAGAAGTAGTAACACACTTCCTTTATCACTAGACCCTGTACACCCTCTATTACTCCTTTTCAGCTTGTGAGCTTCCTTAACTCTACTTTCTTTGCCCTCTGACTCACTGCTGCAGCACTTCAGATGTCCTTGGCTTTTTACCTGCAGAGAAAATGTTGATGGCGATTAAAAGTGCATATTCAGCATCGTTGAGCTGTAGCTCATTCATTCCCTTTGAGAACTCAAAGATGGGGTTAATGAACTCAAACTGCAGACCTGCAACAAACAGAAGAGAACAAGGTGAGGCAACAACAATTGTCTCCTCTCTCTCCCCCGCCCTCTCACAGAATAAGCTGCCAGAAACCCACCGCAGTACGCTAGGGAGTGGGGAGGACAGGCAGGCAAGGAAAACCCCTTACATTATGTTCCAAGTGTGGCTGAAACCTCCCTTTACATCCCACCACTACTGGTGACCACCAACAACAGTGGCTGAGGAGTTGAGCTCTAACTGTAAAATGACGCGATTTCTGGGTTTTCTTAGAGCCTTAAATGCCCCACAGCTCATTACTAGGCAACGGCTAAAGGAACACAACATCAACTATCAGATATGTCCATCAAAAAGTCAGAAGCCCACAAGTACAACATCTGCACTTTCCACTCTCGCACTTCTTCCTTCACACTCTTCTTCGAACCCAGCAGCCCTCTTGCTTTCAAAGAAAGCTTTAATCCCATGCTCCAGATAGATCTGAAGTCCATCTGAGCTGAAAATATACAGTTCCAAGAAGTCTGAACTATGCCATTTCCTTCAGCTCAAAAATCTGGGAGAGCTGAGGCAGAGCCTGACTTAGGCTTCCAGTCACCTCCTTTAATAAATGCAGTCAGGCAGAAATGCACTGATATTTATTGTCATAACATACAGAGGCCACTGTCACATCAGGTCACTTTGTGCTATGTGCTATACAATCATGCTGAAAACTTTAGGCCTTTCCCCCAAAACAGCATCCAAGTTTCTAATTTCCTGCAGTGCAACTGCATCAGAGAAGGATGAACAAGATGGTGGGAATCTTTCTGGCTGCCTGCTTTTTGCCTTCCTAATAATCTGAAGAAAAGGCTACCAGGAAGAGTGTCAAAGAGGAAAGTTGTATATAAAAGCCATCTCAAGTATAAATGGTTAAATAGCTACCCAAGGAATTTAAAAAAAAAAAAAAAAAAATCACATGAAGGGTAGCCAAAGTCTCTTTTTCAGAAATGCTGAAGATACACACTTCCTGTTACTTCATCTGAAATTACAGATACTAATTGCTCCTGGAAAAATAGACTTCAGAAATCACATCACCACAGACCATCGTATACTGAGCTGATGACATGTCGAAAGCACTCTGCGGGGATCTTCAGTGCACAGTATAGACTTCCTATCAACTGAAATATAGTAACACTGACGTCATCACTCAAAGCATGCATCTAGCTTAGCAATTGATATACTTGCAAAGGAGAGAAGACTGGGGTTTGACATTTTGTGATCTGATACGGCTCTAAGACCACATGTCCATGCCAGATCTCTACCAGCAAGGAAGATCACACCAGCTACTAGCCCTAGGTGCACTCTTACAGCAAGATTTTCATGCTGTAAGAGTCCAAATTTTCCAAAGCAAGTTCACACCTAAAAAAAAAAGACATGAACTGAGACATGTTAAAAGCAAGAATAGCATGCGGGGCTATTGGTCTGGTCCTGTTCTAAACCCCTCACCTGACTTCAGCTTTAAGGCCCCACATACTATTTCCAGTAGCCCACATTAAAAAGGAAAAGATGAAAGAACACAAGACACAGGGAAGGAAGAAACACCTGTCTGATGCACCACCTGCTTTGGCGAAGTCATCCCGATTATAGCTCAGGTCCTTAAGAAAGGTGATGCTCTCAATCTCTGGATTGTAGCGCCGAGATGTCTCCAACAACATCACCTGAAACCAGAAATAGATATACTTGATTTGAAAACAGGAAAGAATGTTACAACATTGATAATTTGCTGAGTGTTAGAGCATCTCTGAAAAAAACAAAGAACAAACAAAAATCCTCCAAGCAGTTTTGCTCAGAGTGCTTAAAAATTCCAAGGTAAATTCCGCTGCATCCTTTGCCGCGTCTGCTTCTGGGAAGGGGGAAATACCTGCTTACCACTAGCAAGGCTCTTGCCTCATTCTCCTCCATGGCCCTTTGCCAGTATAGCCTGGCACTGCAGTAATGGTCCCATAGCTGAGGTCCTTCAGCCTGCCATCCCAAAAAAAGGGACGGAACCAGTTCTCCAGGTGGGTACTCCAAATTCTTTCATCTCTGCTACTATGTATTGTGGTGGAGCCAAACTCTCACCTCTATGGTAGATGTCTTCAATAAAGCGATCTGATCTTCCCTGGTGAGCTCCAGGAAGCCAGGTAGTTGCTTGGCAAAGTCCACAATCTCTTGCACAGAGATAATTGCAAGTTCTGTAAAGTGAGCAAAACGCTGCTGCCTTGCTTCACGGTTATTAGGGTCAGGAACTTGGGGCCACGGCTGTGGGAATGGGAAGAGACAGCGTATGCATGTGAAAGATGGAGCCAGGGCAGAAAGATGAGAAGATGAAGTGTACAGAGAAAGAAAATGAGACACATAGGAACATCATCCTTTGCTATTCTTTACAGAACTTTAGCCCACAGATGCAATGCCTGAGGTATCTCTGTTCTCCCAAATAATTTACCCACAACCCTGACACCCCAAACTTCACTTTTTCTTATTTTTGGTACACTGGTAGAGTTTTTACCGTCACTTTGAGCCTGTCTGTGAATGAGCGCTGGTTGCACTGCTGCTGAGCGGCCACAAGCTTTTTTATCATGCTCAACTGTTCAGGCGTCAGTTTGTGGGAAGGGCTTGGCGGATTTGGAGGGTTTGGACGCACCACGACTGTCCGAGCCTGATCGTCTTCCTGCTTCTTCAGTTTCTTCAGTCGGATCTGTTCTTCAGACAGAACATCTAAAGCAGGAATAGCCAGAGATCAATCATGACATAGAAGCGCACTGGAAACCACACTAAACACAGGGTAACATGCTATGGATGGAGAGGCAGAGATCCCAGCTGCCTGTATCTGGTATATCAGAGTGTACAAAACACAGACAGCAGACAGCGATACTTATCATTTGTTTCTCCCTCTTTTCCCCACTTTAAGTTCTTCCATCGCCTTTCTTTTAATCATACTGTCATGCAAAGTGTTCACAAAGGACAGAACCTCCCTTGATGATCCCCTGCAGATCTCAAAAAGACAACAGCGACTTTCCCCATTGAGCAATTCCCCAAAATGCCATGTTACAACAGATTCCAACAGGTGCTCTCTTCACATGTCCATTGTATTTTATATTATCCTGCTGTTGTGTCTTTTTCCAATATTGCTAAATTAACAGCCTGTGTCATTTCATCTTCCTCTTGGGAGGTCAGAGTCGGTACTGGATGGAGTTTGAGAGTGAAAGGACAATTCTCTGCACAGCCCATCTGCTGCAGACTGTAGAGTCGTAACATACCACAAGATGAATAATGGAAGAATAGCTTTGCATAAAACATACTGAGGACCACAAGTCCTTCGGGAGTAGGCCTAGAAGACTTCTTCAGTCGTGAAGTCAAAGGATACACCGTTTAGATGTAATGTTGTAAGGAATAAAACAACTCAGAGGCATGGGTTGTGAAAAATCTTATTGGACCAACTGTTCATTAGCTAATTTAAATACAAAAACCTGTTAACAGTCTGTAACTAAGTTAACTGAAGAATTTACTGATTTGAATGTAGAAGAGGTTTATTGTTTCTTTAAATCAAAGCTGCAAAAACTATCTGCAAGCTACATCCAAAAAAAAAAAGGAAACTACCAGACATACCTGGATTCAAGGATTATCTTCAAGAGAATCATCCTGCGAGTTAGTGATGAACGAACAAAAAGCAGAAAAGGGACTGATTGGAAACAAAACCTTATCTTCAGGGACAAAGATGAAAAAAAATAAAGCTTGACTTTGCAAACAAGATTTGAAAAGTGCTGAAAGATTCTTTGGCCATTTTTTATGCACAGGTAACAAGGAAACATGACTGCTACACAGGAATGCAGGCCCCAAAACTGAACAAGTATATACTTGCACTTCTCAAAATAATCATGTTAAACATGAAGACAAGAAATGGAGAACTACTGTGAAAGAGCATTCTGAAATGGACAGTCCACATGATTGGAGGGAAAGATGAAGAACATAGCACATTCAAGCTGAGAGTAACCTTTATCCCTGACTTCCAACAGGGAGGACGCGCGCACAGGTACACACGCGCACAAAAATTACAATTCTAACAGCAAAGACATTCAATACAATTACCAAATTAAGGGGGATCTGTAAGATTAGAGAATGCTAGTCACAGTGTTAGTTTAAGAAGGGAAGTAATTGATCCAAGCGATTACAGTCCCTCATCTTGGGACTCAGATGCACAAAGAATTTTTAGCTGAGTAACAAGTTACCAGATATTACTGAATCTTGAAAACTGCCTATGTGCAAGCTTCTACACCATGCTAAATTCAAAGCAATCTAAGTTGCTTGGTTTGCCATGAATGAACTATTAACCTCTCGGTTCACACTGGCTTAAGAACAATAAACTGGCCATGAATAACTTCAGTCTGGGAATTAGAAGAATGTTTCCAACAACTAGTAGAGGGAAGTGCTGGAATGACCTTCCAAGTGAAACAGCTGGAGGAAAAAGCCTTCGGCTTCTGTCGAGATTAACAAGGCGAATTTGCAGCGGGGATTACAGTGTCGACAAGAATTGCCAAGCACTCGATAATAACAACCCAAAGATTCCTTTTGGCCTAATTTTCCTGAGCTGTCTTCAACATAAGACAATGAGTAAATGCAAAACACATTGAGGCTCTCTAGTATCTACCTGCAACAGAAGAATAGCAAGGTGGACAGGTAGCCTTGCTACGCAGCTTTTCAAATACATCTGTTTTGTAGCTCTCAGGAGCAGGGGGCAAATGGGGCAAAGACAGCATAAGTAATGCTGATACAAACCAGTGTGACAAAAATACTGATTACATATGTTAGGCGTGCTGTGTTTCATGTTGAAAAAACTGAACAGCATGTTTCCTTGATGCAGCTCAGTGGGACTTACTTTTTGCAGAAGTATTTTTATAAGATGTTTCCAAAATACCCTCTGTTCCTCACTGTTCTGGGTGCTGGATGTCAGAAAAAGAGACTTCACATAGATTTAACGTTAACCGAGCATCCATTTGGTCAGTCTTGGCCAGCAAAGGGATGAAACCTGGATGCCTTGGCAGAGGAGGGCTGTTCCTGATACATGAGCAGGAGCATTGTTGAATATTCAGAAACAGCAGCCTTATGGCTTGCGTGAGAAAAATAGCAGAGTTCACTAAAGAGAGCAACGAGATCGGGTCTGCACAAACACAGCTGCAGTACTGTGCGGTACTGCTGCCCTTGACCTCTGTCACAAGCTCAGTATAAGGCAAAGGGAAGTGCCTGTTGTTCAAGGAGCACGGTCACCAACCTTGCAGTCCTGATCACAAAACAGAAGCCCGAGTTTAATGATACAGTTGACAGCATACTGAAGAACGCATAAATCTTAGTTGCGAATCTTTCCTCTGATGCCATATTCCATGAGTTCTTACAAAATAGCGTGTTCAGGGAACACCCCCAGTAGGGCTGGGGCTCTCAGCACACCGGTGTAGTTCCACTGACAGCCTCACCTCTCCAGGTGATCCCCGCTAAGCTCTGAGTGACTTCCCACACACATTCCAGCATCCAGCCTGCATGGCTCACATGTGACCCCCAAGCACTCACACTGCCCCCTGCCTTACACCCATCGGCCCCCAGCACACCCCCACACGCCTCCTGTCCCAGCACCACGGTGTTCCTGCCAGCACCATTTCCTGCACTCACACTGCTCCCGCATGCCCGCCTCCTGGCACTTGCGCAGCCGGCACTCCTGACACTTGCGACGCATGTACATGTCCATCTCACACTTGCCGCCATTCTTGCAGACGTACTGTGCACCCTTGATGACACTGCGGCGGAAGAAGCCCTTGCAGCCTTCACAGCTCAGCACGTTGTAGTGGAAGCCGGAGGCCTTGTCCCCACACACGCTGCACACTTCATTTCCCAGCATCTTAGGGGCTGGGCCCTTCTTCCGCTTCAGGGGGGGATTTTCTACCAAAATGAACAGTACCAAGGAAAAGGAAAAAAAAGAAAAGAAAACCCACACACATGAGGGAAGCATGGTGTTTGCAGCTGACTGCCCCATTCCTTACAATAACCGATATCCTCACTCAAACCCACTATCTCCCAAACACGCAGATGAAGAGATCAAGTCTCTCATTTCACAGACTCCCCCTTCTGGGCAAGCGAATCTTCTGCAACAAACCAACTATTGACATAATCCAAACAGTTTCACCTCAACTATATAAGCAGATATAGCTTCACACTTGTTCCCCTCCAAAATAGGGTGAAAGAGCTAAAACATGCTCAGGCCAGATGCTCTTCTGCACTTTCCATCAGCAGGAGCGACAGACAGGTTACCAACGTGAGAAAGAGCTGCAAAAAAGTTGAGCTGAAATCCAAGACTGTGCAGAAAGTAATTTTCTTCAGAATTCACCTCCAGTTCTCTTACTTCTCTGCCATACTCATGCACAAGGACAAGGAA